GACTTGTTTAATGGTGCTAGTAATTACTTTTTGTAATTATTATGGTAATAACGTCATATGGTTTTTATATATCTCTATCATTAATTAATCTTGGTTGCTTTATTTAATTACTTCTCCTCAAGATCGAACTTTATTATACGTGAGCCATATGATTATTGACTGTCCCCTGTTGCTATTTCAGTGTAAGCTGGTGTCTGCTATGTAATATTCTTAAATATTTGGAGAAATTCTTTCTTTAATTAAAAATGCCATCTACATAGTCACCATGTTAGTAGAACATTATCCTCCATTAGCCCCCTCAGGACATTATAGCTCAGGAGATGGATTCTACATTTCAGATTTGTTTTTAATAAATTTATTTTCTACCTGTGCTCAGGGGAACTAGAGGATTTCATGGCAATAGATGAGGAAGCTTCCCCAAAAAAGGCCCCTATTCTAGCCTCTCCAAGAGAAGAACTTTCTTTGCATGTTGACTTTTCACCTGAAATTTTACTTCAAGAAAGAGTTCCAGTTAATATGAGTGAATTGAATGAAAATAGAAACACATTGAAATATTATAAAGCCACTGTTTAGAGAAATAGTAAAAATACTTATGTAATGTTTTATCAGATACTTTGTTAACTTATCGAATGTTATAATAACCTTCTGAGGATGGTGTCATTATTGATCCCATTTTATAGAGAAGCAAACTGAGGGACAGAGAGTTTAAGTAACTTTCGAAGATCATACTACCGGAAGGTGTCAGGACCAGGATTTTCATCTAGATGATATACCCCCTGAATCCATGATTATTTTAGCTTCAGTACTAATCTAGCCAGATGGGATTACCCTGAGGTTATAATAGATCATCAACTTCTGAGAAAGCAATTTTTTCATAATAAAAATTATATATATATATATTAGAGGCCCATTGCACGACGAGATTCATGCAATAGGCCTTCCCTTCCCCTGGCTGCCGGCACCGGTTTTCCTCCGGCACCTGGGACCCAGGCCTTCGCTCTGGCCGGAGTCTTCAGTCTTCGCTCTGCCACTTCATGCCTATGTATGCAAATTAACTGCCATCTTTGTTGAGTTAATTTGCATACTCTCCTGATTGGCTGGTGAGTGTAGCAGAGGGATGGTCAATTTACATGTTTGTCTATTATTAGGTAAGATTTATTTACTGTTTGGATTTCCTTTTGTAATTTTTAAATTTTTTCAATTACAATTTACATTCAGCATTATTTTATATTAGTTTCAGGTTCAGTATTATTTTGTATTCGTTTTAGGTGTACAGCATAGTGGGTAGATATCATACACTTTACAAAGTGGTTCCCCGGTATTTCCAGGACCCAACTGGCACCATACAGAGTTATTACGATATCATCGCCCACATTTACTTTGCTGTACATTACATCCCCAGGACTATTTTGTAACTACCAACCTGTGCTTTTCAATCCCTGCACCTTTTTCAATCAGTGCCCAAATTCCCCCTCCCCACTGTGTTCTCCGTATCAATGAGTCTCTGTTTTGTTTGTTAATCTATATCCTATATTAGATCCCACCTATAAGTAATATTATGTGGTATTTGTCTTTCTCTGATTTATTTCACTTAGCGTCATACCCTCTAGTTTTACCCATGTTGTCACAAATGGTAAGATTTGTTATGGCTGAGTAATATTCCATTGTATATATGCCACAGTTTTTTTATGCACTCGTTTATTGATGGGCACTTGGGTTGCTGTCATTGTAAATGACACTGCGATGAACATAAGGATACATATATTCTTTCAAATTAGTGTTTTGCGTCTTTTCAGATATATACCCAGAAGTGGAATCGCTGGGTAATAAGTCCCAATCCATGGGCTATGCATATAAGTATGTCTATAAGTTCTTTGGTTTACCTCTTCTCATCTCCCCCATCCCCACATCCAGGTATGTCATTCTATTCCATGTTTCAGGTCTTATTTTGTTGGCCAATTCACTTTGTTCATTAGATTCCGCAAATAAGGGAGATCGTGTGATATTTGTCTTTCCCAGATTGGCTTATTTCACTTAGCATAATAGTCTCCAGGTCCACCCATGCTGTCCCAAAGGGTAAGTGATCCCTATTTTTTTTTTGCAGCTGCATAGTATTCCATTGTGTAAATGTCCCACAGATTTTTTAGCCATTCATCTACTGCCCATGTAATAACATATTCTTCACAGTTTAATGCACTTGATCAACTGGGAGATGGGCATTTCAACACATTTGGTGACCTAGGAGATATTTATAACATCTTAAGTCAGCGGTTCTCAAGCTGTGAGTCGCGACCCCTTTGGCAGTCGAAAAACCCTTTCACAGAGGTCGCCTAAGACCATCCTGCATATCGGATATTTACGATTCATAACAGTAACAACATTACAGTTATAAAGTAGCAACGAAAATAATTTTATGGTTGGGTCACAACATGAGGAACTGTATTTAAAGGGCCAGAAGGTTGAGAACCACTGCTAAGTTGTATATCATTGATGTGTACAAGATTAATTAGAAAGAAAAGTAAAGAGTTTAATTTCCAAAATAAAGTTGGAATGCTCTTTCAGGAATTTAGTAACCTATCTTTTCTCATTGGCATTTGCTCATAAATAACACAGGAAATTGCCATTAGCTTAAAATTTGAAGAAGAAAGAAGCATCCTTCTCCTTTCATCTCTATTTTTATTTATATTTTTATTTTGTTTTTTAAGTATTTTATTTGTATGCTGCTTTCAGTGTATATAAAATAATCATTCTTGTGAAATAGAAATTCGTGAAAATTCAGAGAGGTAGATGTTAAGGACTGACAAAAGCAGAAGTTTGTAGAGTATGGCACATGTTATAGGGTAAGCTTTTTGTACAGTCTTCAGACTTAGCTCTCTTTGAATATTTGCTGGTTCAAGAAAAGTGGTTGAGAACACCTTCAAAATTCATTTTACTACAAAAAGGAACAAACTTCCTGGGGTCTGAAGGGATTGGTACTTGAAGATACTCCAGTCAACAAGGGGTCATGTTGAACATTCTGCAGACAGAATTGTTTCCAATCTGCAGCTGCCTGGGAAACCTTCACGCGGTTGAGCCCGGCCTCCAGCTGGAGCTGTTGAACCACTTTCTTTATAGTGGTGACACTGGAGGAACCAGACATGGTGCACGCGAGTGCCGGGCAGATTGGTCGGTAGCGGGTCATGGGTCGCAGGTCGCGGGTCGCGGGTCCACGGGGGCCAGACGGCGGGGCAGCGACGCCAGGGGCCTCATCTCTATTTCTAAAGGGAGTATATTTGTTTCATTTTACTGTACAAGTAGTCCTGCACTTCTCCAAGTTGGGGGTGGGGGAGGCTCTCTTTTTCATTATTTCTAATGGAAATTTTTTCAAAGCATGGCTTGTTAGAGATAATGTTTTATTTATTTTTATTAACTCTGGGAAATATAATTTCTCCATTGCATTAAACCCTGATATTGGCAGCTACTTATATTGTTAGGTTGTATAGTCTCAAACATCATTTGAAAAAGTTCAGACATGTACTTTGTGAGAACTGCTTTAGTGAATACTCAGGTAACTAACATTTTTTAAATAGCAAGTACTGTGTCAAGATTCCTGAACTGTTTTCCATAAGACCCAGTATCCCCTCCCCCCCTTCAAAAGGTGCTTTTTCTTTAAGCAACAAGTCTACTATTACTTCCTGTATACATGTCATTGTAGTAGGCAGTTAGACAGGCATGAGCAGAGTAGGAACAATAGGCAAGGTATGGACTGTCTCCAGGGTGAAAGCTTCGGGTACCTAGCAACAACCACTCCCTTAAGCATTCAGTCTTCAAGACAATGAGGTCTGAAACTCATCAGATAATCTTAGTAACAAAACCTTGGGTCTGTTAACCACCGTCAGAATTTTGGTCAAACTAGAGATGACATTTAGGCCTCAATTTTGTTTCAGCTCCTGCCCTCCCCCCCTCCCCCCCCCAAAAAAAAAGCAAAACCAGACAGGGAACACCATGGCTGACATCAGAACCAGATGCAATGACTAATGACTCCCTCCCCTAGTGTCCACCAATCAGTAGAGACCCAGGCCCTGAAAGGACACACCCGGAAAAGCTGATGACTATTCTATTGACATCCTCCCCTGGAACCTCCCTTACTAGTCCTGAGGATGGAGGACCAGCTCTGCTCTCTCTCTTCAGCACACCAGCACTTTCCCACCCTTCTTGTCCTCAGCACACTTTCTCTCTGAAGCATGCCCGAGCCTTTCACCCTCTCCTTACCCCAGGTGCTTATATCCTCGCTTTCTTTCTCTTAAGCTCCAAGGGGCCTTCTTTTGTCTCTGTAACTTGTTTCCTGGGCTCACACAGCCCAGCTGGCTCACTTTTTCTACCTCTGTGACTTTCTAAATGAACGTTTGCTTATATTTGAGACTTGATTCTGAATTCTTTCTTAACCAGATCTCAAGTACAGAGGTTGCTGAACCAAGGTCCAAGCACTGGTAACGTTCAGATGCAGTTTCTCCACCAACTTAATGAATTATGGTTCTTCTATTTCTTTGACCAAATTAGAAAGCACAAAGCTGAAGTGTCTAATAAACTCCTTCCCTGGAATGGAATTTTCTTTACTGATATTGCTTTTGTTTGCATTTTTTTCTTCCTGATTTTCCCTTCAACCATGTGTCATCATCTGATAAAATAAAATAGTATACAAATTTACGTTCACCGTTTTCTCCACCTCTTCCTAAATTTCAAGGGCATAAAATAATCTAGGACCTAAGAGCACACTACATAGAAATATATGGTACAATAAACTGAGTGCGGGGGTTCTAAAAGGCCTAACATTTGCCATGAGATCTACCAATCTTTTCATTATTAACAAGGATATTATTTAACATTCCTGTCATCTTCAAGTTACTGAAAGACTTCCTTTTTTTAAAAAAAAATTGTCTAAGTGTTTTCTTGAGAATTCTTCTGGTCCACACATTATTTTCTTTTTGTAAGTACAATCCAGGAAGGAGTACAAGTAATGATCATTCCAGAAATCAGTTTCCAAATCAAATCTGTTCAAGATCAGGTTGGGCACAAGTACTATTATCTAAGACAGCGGTACTATTATAATAGATAATAGTACTATTATCTATTATCAACCTGTGGGCCACGACCCCTTTGGCGGCCGAACGACCCTTTCACCGGGGTCGCCTAAGACCATCCTGCATATCAGATATTTGCATTACGATTCATAACAGTAGCAACATTACAGTTATGAAGTAGCAACGAAAATAATTTTATGGTTGGTTCACAACATGAGGAACTGTATTTAAAGGGCCAGAAGGTTGAGAACCACTGATCTAAGGTCTAAACTCAAGGTCCAAGCCTAGGACATCAATTCAAATGGGTCAGTAGAGACATAAGTGGACGTCCAGACCCTTAGAAACCACAGATGGCCACCCGGCATCAGCTGGCCAAATGTCAGAAAACCAAATGCTAATGGCTTTTCAGAGCAGAGCGCTGACTGGGAATCTAGTTAGTGGGAACTGTGGCTCACAAGGGAGGAGATGAGATACTATCTGATGGCTAGGCCCTGGGGGGATACTGAGTTCACAGAGGAGCAGCAACTGAGTCAAGTGTTTCGGACAAAGGGCTTCTTTGAGAGGCCCATCTGCCAAGTGACACTCATCTCAGGGCCCTGAGTCAAGCTGAACCCAGGGATGGAGGGAGGAGGTTAAATGGAACAGCTGCCAGGGTAAAAAGGCCTGGGGGGCCAGGAAGAAAGCCAGAAACACCATCTTTTCCTTAAATGACCACAGTCTACAACTGCAATATGTTTTGTGATATTTTCCCTTTCTTGATTTGTAAAACAATGGACAAAGAATGTTATATTCTTCTTTAAAACATGTTTATATATATCGGTTAATAGGAAAAAATTCATATGCATTTATCATTCTCTATTAAACATAACAAAACTTGTAAATTATATATTGCTAGAAAAATTGAATGCATTTAGCCTCAAAAGTTGTCCTCATATCACCATTTTTGTCACTAGTGATTCACTCTCATGGATAGATGATGATAGATAGATAGATAGATAGATAGATAGATAGATATAGATAAATCCTCACCTGATGATAGTTTTTGCATTGATCTTTAGAGACAGAGTGGGAAGGGGTGGGGAGAGAGAGAAAAAGAGAGAGAGAGAGAGAGAGAGAGAGAGAGAGAGAGATCTACTGGTTGCCTCCCTCACACACCCAACTGAGGCTGGGGATGGAACCTGCAACTGAGGTAAGTCCCCTTGACCATGAATCAAACCTGGGATCTTTCAGTCATGGGGCCAACATTCTAACCACTGAGCCAAACTAGCCAGGGCCTAGGTATATATATTTCATCCAGGAAGCTACTAGCTCAAGTAACATTTATTTTCCCGAAAAAATAATTAAATATATCTTTAAATTAATATTGCATAAAATTTAAAATTAAATTAATAATTTTCTAGCTTTAAATCTCTACAGTAATCTTGTGTTTATTCTGCGGGTATTAATTCCTATTAGTAAGGAAGTATAATCGTTTTCCCATGACATGTCTAACAGCTTTCCAGCTGAGGCCAACCTATTTAATTCATAGCTCTTTGGTCCTAAGAGATATTAAATTCTGTACTATACATTCACTCACAGTATGATCAGACACCTACCAAGTTTTTAGCAGTAATTAATATATTACATGGGGATTGATCCTATTAACTGAACAACTTTGAATAATGTATTCCAGGTTAACTACTACTTGCAGTATCCTGTGATATTCTTACATTTGAACCATTTCTTTGTGATGCTTACTAAGTATAATTAAAAGGTTAAAAAAGTGATTAATACTGTCAAAAATATAGAACTCCCTTCTAAAGCAATCTTCAATATTCTGCAAAAATAAATTAGTTTCTTCATAGTATAGTCTTGGGTTTTTATACAATTTCTTATTTACATGTAGTATCATAGACTGATGTAACATCTGTTCTCTTTCAGATGGGAGGTATTTATTCATTTATTGATTATTAGCTATTAATTATTTTCTTCCATCTTGATCAATCACCCCAGTTGGTCCGTATCACTTTATCTTTTAATTTTTTAGAGTGCCTTGGTGCAAATTGAACCTGTTATTTCTCATTCCTTCTTAGAGTTCCATTTATCTATCTCTCTTACTGAGACTTTGTATTACTAATGACTTCTCACAGTGACTCTCATCTTGAAATATATTTATATTCAGTTTACCCACTTAAAGTATATTAGTTGCTGATAAAGGGCCTCCAAGTAGATGAGCAATTAAATTTTTTTCATATTTATAATTATATATTGATATAAACTGATCTAAAACAAATATCATTATTCCCACTTTACTTTAATTTGGTACTAAATGCTTTCATGAAGATGTTCTATTACTATAGCCTCAAAATGGTTAGTATTTTTTATTCT